CTGTCTGTCATCAGACAGCTTGTCATCAGATTCTAAATCAAAATTGAGAAGTGTAACTGCAGTAAAGAACATGATTCTAAGATATTATTATGTAAATGAAAATGTGTCATTTTGTTGAATATTACAATTGTTGTGATTTGACAATGAGTAATGAATTCTTTTCCATCATTTGCCGCTAATACAAAGTAGTTTCTCAACTTTAAATGTTATCATTTGTGGATCCGACGAGGAAACTGCTGGATGATTCTTCTATTTTTTCATTCTCTACAAATATTTCACAATGTTGTCACTGGCAGATATTGTAGTGTTCAATTATTCGCTTGAATTCTTGCATAAAAACTGACGACGTAATATGAAATGTTGTGATGTAACGTATGAAAAAAAAATTGAAATTCCTTCTCGAATCATCGAAATATTTTACTGATTACTGACGATTTGATTTTTGTGTCATCGATTGAATGAATGGTTCCTTTTGTGAACCCAAAATTCGTCAACATCTTCATTTGTGAGTGAAGGATTTTTTGTTTTGTGAAAATGATGTGTTGATTTGTCGTGATATGTTCACATTGTACAATGATGGAAAATTTGAAAGTGGCGGTGTTACAAAATGAAGATGTTGAGGAATTTTTGATTAGGAAGTAGGGAAAGGAATTGCAAGCAGTCATCGTCACCACATCAGAACATATTACGGAAACACTCTATCATCAAATTGAATTAACNGGAAAGGAATTGCAAGCAGTCATCGTCACCACATCAGAACATATTACGGAAACACTCTATCATCAAATTGAATTAACCGAACGATCGCAATTTGATGTTATCGTAGTGTGCTTGATTTTGATTCAATGATGACACAGCTTGTTGTTATTGTTAATGAATTGAAGAACAAAAACATTTGATAAAGGAATGTGCTGATGAATGAGTTTATTAGGACATAACGTGTTGTTTGTCTCTTTACACAAGACTCTATTTGATCATGATGGTAACCAAACAAGATTTGGATTAGTTCCGAATCCGATAAAGTTGAAGTTTTGAATTTCTCAAATTACTTGCTAAGTGCTCGTGGGCCACGAGTCCTGGAATTTGTGAGTGGGTGAATTCTCGCACTGTTGAATGATCGGATTTCAGGACGATACAATTGGCAGAACTTTGGTTTTGGTTTCGAAAATCTTGCAGCGACTCTCAAATTGTGTCGTCTCTGGGCATACGTTGAACATTAAGGAGCCATGGCTGGCACCGGTCATGCAAAGGTTTCAATTTATTCATTTGATCGGCAGTTTGAATCGTTGCGATTTTATGCCTCATTTCTGTCGCAAATTTTAGATGGTCTATTCTTTGGCATCCTTGTTTCCGTACAGCTAGCGATGTTGGTGTCTGAAATCATTTGTGACTCGACTATGAAAATCGTCTGAAATGACTTGTGATCAGAAATCAGATCGATATTGATCGGCCATTAATCAATAAGTCATTGATTGTTGTTGAACAATTCCTCATTTATAGATTCACTGATGAGACACATCGATTGTCAATGCTGAAATTTTTGGATCGGATCTCAATGACTGAGACGGATCAGTCGATGAGCGGCGAGAGTATATCAATTCTTCGCGAAGGGTTGGCGATTTGTTTGTTTGGTTCAAATATCGGAATCAGCTTTATTTTCGATTATTTTGTGGCTTTGCGATTATTTTGAGCCGGCCAATCTAACTGCCAAAGTATGAGATCAATTGAAGATCATCTGATGAGTTCATGATCAAATGTCGCTCTTGATCAATCGAATTGATCATCTGATTGTGTTTTCAGCAGCTTTATTGAGCGCAAACCGAGTGAGAAACGGCGGATACTGAAGAATTTAATCAATCAACGTCGTCGATACGTTGTTTTAACGGAATCGGAGATTTGTTGGCAGAAATCAAAAGGTAAATTAATTACGTTTATTGAGAAATTTGCTTTTTTTTCGTTTGAGTGCGATTGTTCAGTCGTTTCTTTTTTTGGTTTTTTCATGGATATTTTTACAAATTTTAGTCGTTTGAACACCCTTTGACTAACATTGCCGATCGGTTGGCGATGTCTGAGTAACAAATGTCATTGTTCAAATGAGCAATGTTCATTTATTTAACAGTGTTCATCTATTCTTCCGTATGGAACAAATGAATGAATCTTGCCGTTCACATCGCATAATATAACTTGTTTTTGGTATAGATGTTTTCGTCAAGCCAGGAATTCTAATGATTATGATCCGTTTGATTTTTTAATAATATTGACCTATTAGAGCCGGAATTGAAGCGTTTTCTTGCAAAGAACATGCATAAAAACCTCATTGTATGATAGGAATTGCTTGGGAAAAGCATCACTTCTTCGGTTCCTGGGCATCCTGTCCTCCTTTCACTATACCCAGTGGTCTTCGAGAAATTCAGATATCATTTTACTTCGTACATTTTTAATCAACCATTCACATCTTGTTAAGGTGGGAAACATTTACCCGTACCTAACGCACATAGCATGACAGTGTGAATCTCTGTCGCAATTAGGTCCATAATGTGTAGTGAAAGAGAAGCAAAGAATGAGAATAGAAAAGTTATTGATAAACAAGAGAAATATTGAATCAGATTGCGTCGCAGGCAATAGGAATATTTCAAATTTGAGGAATAAATTTGCTAATTTAATGAGATTGTGCAGAAAATGGAGATAATATCTTCATTCTCCGATGGAGATATTATCAGCCCACAAGATAGTGTTAGCCGTTTAGTTTTCGGGGATTATAACAATGTCTATGCGTCAATCACGCCGATAAAATGATTGCAGCTGATCCCGAGCCGAAAGGTCGTATCCTCCTACAGGATGTCACGCATGTTGAACCAGTTGAAGACGCGAAGGCAGTGT